TCTCAACGCTGGTGAAGAAACCAACCTAACCCAATCCCTTAGCGTCCTGGTTAGAGGGTGCATCCTTGGAGGGACTGGTGAAGATGGGAAAACTAAAGTGGCTCTGCTGCCTGATGGTGACCATTGGACTGGTGCTATTAGAGACTCAAACTGACCGCCAGAAACAAAGGAACAACCAGAATGGTTTTTGATGGATCCACAGCAAGTCATCCTTACGGCGGCAATATGTGGTGGCAGCATTCCAAGCACGTTGCTGAAGGTTTGAATAAAACGGACTGTTATGTTTGTACTCATACGGACCGCTCTGGATGAGTTCAAGATTTAAATAGGTTTTGCCTACTCAAGGGACAGAGTTTTGAAGCTTTTTACATTCTTGATAAATCTTACATTTTTGCTTAAGTTTTACATTTTAATCCTTTTCATATTTTTGTTTTTTGCATATTGATCTTTGATTACTGAATTCTCTATCTGCAATGCATTTATGATGTGTGTAGTAAAAATCTTTTTAGAAGTGCTACATGCTAATGTTTATATGCACAAGAGGAGGGAATGTTAGGTTTATTCAGTGATGATTATAAAATTAATGTGTGCTTATAAAACATTTGTGCGAGGGGATGCTCCACTCCTGTGTCATGATTCAGTCAGGAGACCATCCTACCTTATCACTCTGATGGAGCATTCTGTCTTCATGAACTGATCAATTGTCCTGTCAGAACAATACTGTGTTTGTAACCATGTGTCATGTTCTGTTAATAAATGCTCTGCAGAGGAGGTCCAGTGGGAGACAGTGTGTTTGAGTCGGGGGTTCAACTGTCTCTCCTTTCTGCAGAAATTGTATCCATAATTGTGTATTTCAGTTCTCCTTTTGCAAAAACCTACATTTTATGAACCCGACATAAAGGCTTTAAAAGCAATTTCTGCCTGAAAATACACACCTGATATAAATTAAGTGTCAGGATTTGGTTGTGGTTTGAGGACCCAAATGCAGAGGCAGGGAGGCAGAGGTGAGTTTCGTGTTGATTTAATGAAAAGTTAGCAGAACACAGAGGCAGGAATCCATAAATCCAAAAATCAAGCATGAAAAAATTAAAACAAACCAGAAAGCATGGAGACTTCAGGGGGAAAACTATCATGATGAGGAAGACCCAGTAAGACGGAGTTGGAGGAAGGTAGACGAGGAACCAGGACTGAGGAGTGTATTTATGGGAGACTGAACAAAGAGAGGACTAACAAGCAGATAGGGAGCAGGTGTGAATAGAGCAGACTGGAAAGGAGCTAGGGAAAAATTAGAACACAAGAGGGCAGCAGAGGGCAACAAATAAAAACCTGAAAACCTAAAATATAACCAGAAAACACAACAAAATAAGAAATGAATCAATAAAACTAGAAAACATGGAGCAAAGTAAAACTGAATACTCAAAAGAAAAACAACAGAACCAAGACTATGACATTAAGGATAGCTCCAAATTCAGTTCTATATGCTAAAGATAGAGGAATATTTTTCAAATTGAATCACTATCACATCTCTATGTCTGATTCATTTTTTAGACAGTGAAAAATCTATTTTGCTTTTTTGTTTTTTTAATTTGCAGTAAAAGTTAAAAATGCCTGAATGTCCTTTTGAAAACCTGGGAAACACCTTAGATTGCATTCATCAAAATCTTTAACTTTCATATGTCAGGACTGAATTAGTTGAGTCCTTTTGATCCATAATGGAAGTCCGATGCCACCCTCTGGGTCCAGTACTGGTAGGACTTAGAAACTTTCCTTCAGACTAAAACAAATGGAAATAGAATCAGTTTATCAGCCAAGATTGCATTGAAAAAAGTTCCCCTCAGTTTCAGCCCCTTTCAAAATAAAGACATTTATAAACTTTAGAGAACAAAGGACAAATGTCTGCAAAAAGCAGTTTCAGTCCTTCAGAAATCTAACCAGAACTGTTTCCCACTTCCTTTTAAAAGAAAACAAGTTGAAACCTTGCCCTTATTCCCAGCTCAGGGATTTCAGGGATTTTGAAACAGTCCATATCGATTCACTGTTGGACATTAACCTGTTTGCATTTCCATTTTTCTGTTTGTCGTCCTCAAGTTGTACAGAAACATTTCCAGTCTTTTTGTTGCCGCAAAATTAGTATAGAGTGAACTGATGATGATGGCTTCAGATGTTTATTTGCCTGTAAAACTTGACTGAACATTCAAAAAAATAAGAAGAAAACTCATTTTTGTTTGCATCCTAACAAAGGAAGGCACATCTCTGCACTCCATGACCTCCTTTTGACCTTGTTTTATTTAAGTCATAGATAGCCATGAAAGTCTGCCTGTAGTCATTTATAATGGCAGAACCAGAATCTGTCTTGCAAGACATTAAATCTTCCATATGAAATAAAAACTTACACCAGTTTAATGCATTTTTTTAACCCAGAGTTCAGTTAGATGAATGCAGACAAAACAGACTGTAGTTAAAAACCTTCAGCTGATCCAAAATGCTGCAGCCAGAGTTCTGATGTAAAATTAAAAAGAGAGATCTTATCTCTCCTATCCTGGCTTCTCTTCATTGGCTTCCTGTTAAATCCAGAATAGAATTTAAAATCCTCCTTCTCACATATAAAGCCTTAAATGGCCAAGCTCCATCTGATATCAGAGATCTGATTGTTCCTTATGTTCCTAACAGAGCACTTCGCTCTCAATCTGCAGGTTTACTAGTGGTTCCTAGAATTTCTAAAAGTAGAATGGGAGGCAGATCGTTTAGTTATCAGGCTCCTCTCCTGTGGAACCAACTACCAGTTTTAGTCCGTGAGGCAGACACCCTGTCTACTTTTAAGGCTAGGCTTAAAACTTTCCTTTCTGATAAAGCTTATAGTTAGAGTGGCTCAGGTTATCCTGAGCTATCTCTATAGTTATGCTGCTATAGTCTGCTGAAGGACAGCAGAATTAGTTTGTTAAACCTCCAACGTTCTGCTCTCTCTGCTTTTTCTCATAGTAGCTTCATCTGGTCTGTTCCTGTTTGGCTGTGACTCCATCCTGGAGAAAAATATCAGCTCTGCTGTTGCCATCAACACCATTGTTTATAGATTTTCGAGCTTTGCCTGTTTTTCAGTGTAGAATTAGCACTTGTGAATTAGCGCTATGTAGATAAACCGAATTGAATTATTCAGCTCTGTCACTCCGAGGGATTGATAGAACTTCTCTACAAGAGAAAATGTTATCTTAATAAGTTGACCCATGTGCCAAGCCCTACCACAGCCCTACCACAACTGGTATGGTGTAAAACAGCACTGAAGTATTAGTGATATATAAATAAAAGATACACTTACTGGTCTTAATCTAAAATTCACAGAACAATACAGTCCATTAAAATGTTAACACAATGAAGTACTATCGATAAAATAATTTAAATAAATGTGCTTAAACGTATTTTTCTTTTCACTTACTAGTTAAGCAGTTAATAAAATTAAATGGTTTTAGGCAGTTGGTTTCCTCAAATCCTTTCAATTTATCAAACATTTACAGTGAATTTTTAAGCAGTTATCGGTTGCTGTCTGTGTTCCCTTAAGTCTTAACTAAGGTTTTGTAAGGCGCATTGGTAAAAAAACGAAAACATCATCAAAACAAAGAGGTTCACATAGCCGTAAACAAAAGCAGCTTTAAAACTTCAAAAATCCCCTGTGCGGATCAGGTGTGAGTTAATCTTCCGAGCAGCAATTACACCCACATATTTATAGTTCTGTGCTGATGGGAATCTGGGTTTCCCACATGTACAGTCCCTCTGTTAGTCAGATGGATCAATAAGTAGATCACATTGGTTTGTTCATGAGACAGGCTAATGATTGACTGGTGACAACATCAGCCAGCAGAGCACATATCAGACTTTAAGCTCAGTCAATCAGACAGAAAGCTGCTTCTGAATTTGCAGCTTTTCACACTTGTGGACATTTTTTTTCTCACCTTTGTCTTTTTTTTTTTTGTTCATTCCTCATTTTCTGTCAGGATGAAGTCATACTCTTTCCCCTTGTTTTTTCTTCTCATCGTTTGCTCTGAATCGGTGAGTTGGACCTTTTCATTCTTATTCAGGCTAATCAGCAAAACAGAATCTGGATAATCCTAAAATGATTAGCAAAAACAGCAGTGCAACAGTAGGCTGTTTATCTAATACTAACTCAGTGGTATCCAAATATTTTGCCATGAGGGCCAAGATCATCCGTTCGGCTGAGGTTTTTGCAAAACCAGTTTGTAAATAAATTTCTTATGTAACTGTATACCTAATTGCTCAATTTTAATTTAAATATACAAGATACTCTATAAATTAATCTAGTGGTCATGTTTTGGCAGGCAGGGAGGTGATCTATATATCATTGTAGACCTAAATATAGTGGGGTGGGGGTCTGGGCTACATCAAGCCTGCTTTTAAGTAAAGGTTTCTGTTCTAAGAGAAATTTCCAGGCTACTAGAAGCTTTCTTTTGTGAAAATGTTGACCGAGAATATAAAAAAGTAGCGTCCATCTGCATCCTCAATGTGTACTGTCAGACCAGGTTCTTGAATTATTGTCAGGGTCATCACAAAATCTGCCAAGGGCTGCAAATTGACCCCAATCTCCACTTTGGACACAAGTGCCAAAAGAAATTCATTTTGAATTGCAGGTTCAGATGTCCAAATTTATAAACTGTCCAATCATTACGGTAAATTGGGCAGGATTGAAAAAGCATAATCAAACTTTTAACACGCTAACTGTAGCCCCATTTAAATTATCCTCTGAAAAATGAGGTGAGCTTGTGTAGGGTAAATCAGGGATAGATCAACATGATTTAAGTAGAGAGTATTTTAACAATTGAGAAACAAAGTGGGCTTCTTTGTTTGATCTCTGGGAGAAAGGGAGTGGTCATGGTACGTCGAGGTTGTTGGAGGTCTTCAACAGGGGGTCTGCGACCCCTAGGGGATCCATGGAGGTGATAAATGGGGGTCGTGAAAGTTTTGGCTGATTAGACTTTTTTTTAATATTCCTCCCTGCAATTTTTTCTACTTGTTGAAATGTCTTTAAATCCACATTAGCATGAATTCAACACACTGTAATAAACAGATAAATGGAGGCAGAAGATGTCTTTCAGTCATCAATGCACACATTCAGCGACACACGGGAGCTCATTCAAGCTGGGCAACGTTTCATTTACAACTCCTGTCCCATCAACCAGGAATACATTCTTAGGAAAACCAACACAAAATAAGCTGTTCTGATTATATACTTTAAAAGACTTTGAAGTTACCACAACTTGCTCATATTACAAAGTTACCTATTGAACAAATTCAAGGGAAATATACCCTTTAGGTGACTTTTTCAGAAGGCCTCAATGTAGAAAAATTATATTGAAAAACTTTCAGATTATAACTTCTATTACTTATATCAATATGATTTCTAAGGTATACCTGATATCTTTAAGAAAAACATTTAATAAAGGCTTTTTGACCATTTTAGTAAAACCACGCATCATCTGCAAACGGCTTTAGCTGCAACAAATAATAAACTATTTTGATATACAGATTTGAGAATCTATTTTAACTTCTTCCTCAGGGGAGTCCACCAGAAAAAGAGCAGGCATCTGCCTTAGAACAGCCTAAACAGGACAAGCAGAAAACAAAGCTTCCAGTGCCAACCCCCACTCCAGTGGTCACAACACCTGCCTCAAAAACCACTGAAGCACCAAAAACAGATGAGTTTTTGGGCCCACAAGAATGTCTGGACAAAAAGTAAGTCAAGTACTCATCTAAATGTTTTTGTAATCCTCAAAAATGGCTTTCTGAATGTCCTTTATGTTATTGTTTAAGATTACAGTAGTATGGTAAGTTTAGTGGATTTATTAAACCGAAACTGCTAGTCCAGGTTGTTCAGCCAAAGAAAGGTGGGCTAATAGCCCCAGGTGATCTATCACTCTAGATCAGTTGATTAAAGAAGAACGATGACTCATATTCCTCAGATTGACTCGAGCATCATGTGACCTGATGTTTTGCCCTCCATGGCAGCGATGCGTTCAAGGACACTGTTCCTGCAAACCTCCCTACTTGTGTCCCACTGAAGGTGTGGAACCAGTTTGTGGGACAAACCACAGGAGTTACACATCTTATTGCCAGGTAAAACCAGAATGATCCTTACCTGTTTGCAGAGATACTGATTTTTTGGGGGGACAAGCAGATAACAAAAGAATGTTTTAATTTTGCTTTGTGAAAAAAAAGCTGATTTGTTTCCCAGGTAATGGCAGTTTCGTGCCGCACAACGAAGCCCCTATTTTCCCACTTTGGAAAAGAGTGCAAAGGTTTTGTCTCACAAACACATTTTTGTTTCTTTTTTGCATTTATAAATTTGACTTTCTTTTATTTGGAACCCAGAGAACATTCCTAAGTTCCAAAGTTCCCTGGACAGTACTACAGGAGTAATCAAGATCTTCCTTCCTGATGGCAAAGGAGGTGGCGAGAACTTACTAGTGTGTCAGGAGTTGTGGGATGTGGCAGCTGCTAATGTTGCCTGCAAGGAGCACAAATATTCACTGTGAGGATAATATTATACACTTATACCTATAAAGTGCATTTTTGATATTGTTTTAAAGGAAAATACACACAAACTAAAAGAAATTCCATTTTGTAACAGAGGGGCAGCATCTGTAGACTTTGTGGACTACAACTTCCTTGTGAACAACACTGATAACAAAGACCTCCCTAACAACTGTGTCAACATCCATTGCCAAGGCTATGAGACCTCTTTGGCTGAGTGTGAAATCTACAATAAGGTGAATTCTTCGGGCAGAAGTGTGGCGGCAGCAACCTGTTACAAAGACCCACCTGAAGGTCAGTCTGAGAAGATCCTGAAATCATAAGCCCAATCTGCATGTGGTCAACTGAAGGCTTGCCTTCATGACATCAATGGTATCAGTTTGCTAATAAGGGACTAATGGTGGTACCTTTCTTGGCCATTGTGTGTCCAAAATTGGTACTCTTAGCTCTTCCAAGAGACTCTTTGGTTGCTTCTTGTCCTTGAGGAGTTTAAGTTTCTTCAAACTCAGGGGATCACTCTGTAAACAATGTGGTCATCTTTCAGCTGTAGTAGTATGGGTATAGAGTGGATGGAAACTGAAGCAAAGACAGAAAGATGTAGACAGAGCCTTAACACTTAGAGCATTTCAAATAATCCACAGCTTGCTAAGTCGTCTTAGTTGCACTCACTCTTCAGGGCTACAAAAGCCAGCTATCATCCTAGCAAGATAGCTGAGGAAAGGGGCTGAATCTCTCACCATCGAAGCAGTGCCCTGTTTTGTGTCCTGGGATCTAAAAATGTGGCTATTGGAGATGGAAGTGGATCCACAATTGATTCCTAAATGACATAGGTCCTGCTTCCTTCCTAAAATAAATTTTTTAACAGCCAATACACTCCTTGATTATTTCAAATGCTTATAAAGTGTCCAGATTTCTAGTGTTATTGATTCCTTATATCTTCTGTCATTATCATGGATGTGCCAAACCTGAACCTCAGGACCAAATCCTACCTGACACTGACCCATTCCTGTGTTCTTAGGTCTTGAATTGGCACATGATGAATTTGTATGTCATTTACCACCTACATTTTCTTACCCAATAAGTGCCTCTCCATTAACTTCTAAAGCTTCCTGGCCGGAGGTCCAGAATGTCTTGATCATAATTTAGCCAATGACAGGGTGCTCCAACCCTCTGGAAAATCCACTGGTCAATAAACTAGTCTTGGACTGTGGGAGGAACCTATTTTTGGAGGACATTTTGATCTCCCAATGGTAGATTTCTTGAGGGGAATTGTGAAGGAGCCCGATTACTTGGACTAAAGGCTTATTGACACTACCCTTTTGAAACCGTGTTGATATCGATCCAAGCACCGTAACCGAGAGAACGGTTGAGTATAAATGGTATGCCAAACTGAAACAGACTGTGTCAGACATAACCAAACTGCACAAAACTGGTACTAGCTCATTAGTTGGGCTTGGCACGGTTCAGTTCTGGCTCAGTTCTCAGATAACAAAGAGCGCAAGAGCAGACCGCTTCATCTCCTTACAGTCGGCCTCCATAATCATGAAATTTTAGACGTTCATAAAAATACTAGCTTCCTTACTGTGCCACACGATTTCTTGTGATGATTCTGCTTAGCAGTGTGATGAACCTCAATGTCTGTCATTGTGTCCTGCCTCTGTACACCCTGATTAGTTTGTCCTATCCACTTCCCAAAAGCCGACACTGTCAAGTCAATTCACCAAAGGCTGCTTTCTTCGCATGACTCCAAAAACTTCCTGAATGATATGGGTGCCGCTTATGTTGATTTTCTTGTTTACCTCTAGAGAGCAGCAGTACCATAGATCGTAACTAGGAGGTAAGGACCATGCTAGAGCGGTATGTAAATGGTTGTAAGGAACCAAGCTCGGCACGGTTAACTGATCCCCTTCTCTATGAACTCGGCAAGAATCGGTTTTGAGAGGATAGTCTAAATGGGGCAATTGTCTCCCTTTACGAAACACAGAACTAATTGTATTCTAAACAATCCGACAGATGATTCTTGAGGAAATCTAACATATAAAGTGCATCCCTGACCTTGAAATTTTTCTTTTTTCCCTTGCTCTTGAGAAGCTTGTTGTCCAAATGCTGGAGTATGTTATTGTGGAGAGATAAGCTAAAAAGGCAATGCTTTTTTTTTCGCCTATGGTCTTGAAATATGGGTAATGACAAAAAAAAACAAGATTCCGGATAAAGTGGCTGAAATTATCTCCTTTTACAAGGTAGTCGAGCATTCATTTAAAGATAGGTTGAGGAGCCAAACCATCCAGTAAATGGTTAAAATATAGGACATCTTTTCTGGATGCCCTTGGATGCCTCCCTAATGAGGTGTTTCAGACATATCCCAGCTGGTAGAGGTCCAAAGGATGGCCCAGAACACCCTGGAGGGATTATGTCTCTCAACTTGCCATGAAACACTTTTTGATTCCCGCAGGGGTGCTGGAGGAGGTGTCTGGGGAAATGAAAGCCTGGGCATTCTCATGACCCATTCCTTGATAAGTGGAATATGACAAGTATGAATTTTAAAGCTAATAATGTGCAACTGGTTATTTAGAATTATCTGGAAACAGCATAAGGTTGCAACTACAAAATTTGCTAAACATGTTTTGCACCCGAACTAGCTTATTATTAAGTTTCAAGAAGTTTTATGCAACAAGCAGCCATGTAGAGAGCTACCTGTGTCACGGGCTCTGCTCCCTTTGGTTTTTCACATTGCAGAATGTGGCTTCACCTGTGCAAACCAGAAATGCATCTCCCTCAACCAGACATGTGACGGAGTGGATGACTGCGGCGACCGCAGTGATGAGATGTGCTGCAAAAGTAAGACCAAAAACCAAGAAACCTGTTTTATTTAGTTGAAGCTAAAGAAGTATACATGTTCAAGGTTACCCTGTATATCCTTGTGTTTTTCAGAATGCAGGAATGGGGCTTTCCGCTGCAAGACAGGGATTTGTTTGCACAAAGAAGCAGTTGGTGACAAACAGATTGACTGTCTTGATGGTGCAGATGAATCACAGAAACATTTGACTGCATTCAGTAAGAAACCAAAATCATCAAATGAATAGAGCAGTTTATTTTAAAGCAACACTGTGAACCTTTTAGCCACAAGGGGTGCTAGACAGAAGTGGTACCATGTCATTGTCTCTTAATTCTCAAGTCGGTCAAAAGTCTCTGTCTTCAAATTCCAGGTCAAGTTTCAAGCAATCATGTTAGAGTCGAGTTGCAACTTAAGACAAGCCTACGCTCAGGTAAAGTCCAAAGGCTAATGCCATGAATTTTGAGTACTTTAGTATTTGTTAAGTATTTAAGTATTTTACTTAAACAAAGTTTAATTATTTGTTATATGTTAATAATTTATCATATTTTCTTTTTTGGTAATGAGTGGGAGGTAGGTAAGGGGGATGGATGGTTTTAAATCTTTATCATCAACACATTTTTTTTGGCTGAACCTTTGCTAATAGGTTAGCTAAACTTGGCTATCTCATTGTAGCAAAACACAAGCACCACCTACCATTCTTCATCATACTTGAAATGTTGGACAAAGCTGGGAGCTCCCTCTGTGATTTTCTTCTTAAATGTGTTGGATATTGTATTAGATTTATTTTGTTAAGACATTTTGAAATCTTTTGAGCTTCTTTGTTTTGTTTTATTTTTATTTTTTTTATTTAGTTAATTTAGTTGGCTGTGCTGCAGCTAATTTACAAATAGTGTTCATACAAAGTGTGCAAAGACAAATAGATGTCCTGCTTTTGTTAATATATCAATATTTGTTAATAATCAGTCAGTTTTTGTTTAAGTTCTGGTTACTAAGTTAACTAAGTTCTGGTAAAGGCTAACTTAAAGCTAAATTATTATTATTATTAAGTAAAGTCACTCAAAGTCAATAAATTATTGCTTAACATTGGCTTGTGAGTTTTGATATTAGATTATTTTACAATTTTTATACAAATTAATCTGAATGTTGCATTGAGCACAGAAATCAGTGAAATCTTAAAAAAAAAAAACTCAATCTATCAGGTGGCTAAATGTCTAAATGTTTTTCTGTTCACTTCAGGTGCAGCAGCGTCAGATAGAGCAACCTCACAACAAAGCCCCTCAGGTACTGTAATAAACAAGTTTGCATATGATTGTAAATGTTGTTTTTTTAAGAAAATTTTAAGTTTTTTTTTTTAATGAAAGTCTAAAATCATGTTTTGATATCTCCTTTCTTTTTTCAGAGTATATCTCTCGTAAAAATGGTACGTAACTGCAGCGCTAGTAAATATGATGTAGAACTTCTTTACCTTTGTCTAAGACAAAAAAGGATGATGCAATAAATTTATTAGAAAGCCAAAGCCAAGTAGCCCTCACCATACAGACACACAGAAAATAGATAAGATATATTTATTCTCAGTAACTATATTTCTAGAGGTGCTATTGACATGACATTTCCTCCACATGTCTGTATCAATCCACACATACAAAGAAATCAAACATAGATATCCAGCAATTAAGTTATGATTAATGATATGGAATGGCACAGGGGGAAAATATTGAACACGCAAAAGGGAGGTGCAAAAAGGCATGGAAAGCCAAGACAGCAGCTGAAATATCTCAGTAGTTAGAAAGCAATCCTGCCCATTGTAAGTGCAATTTAAAATCAGCTGGTTCAATCCCAAATGATGGCCTATAAAAAGGTGTCTCTGGTATCACACACAAAAAACTTCTCATAATGGGTAAAAGTAAAGAGATTTCTTAAGACCGTTACAGCCTTACTGTTGCAAGTCATAATGATGGCATTGGATACAGAAGAATTTCTAAACTTCTGAATGTTCCAGTGAGCACTGTTGGGGGCCATAATCCATAAGTGGAAAGAACATCATTTTGCCAAAACCAACCATATAAAGTGAGGAAAATAAGTATTTGAACACACAGCTATTTTGCAGGTTTTCTTACTGAGAAATCATGTAGGGGTCTGACATTGTCATAGTAGGAGCATTTTCACTGTGAGAGACATAATCTAGAAAAAAATATCAGAAATCAAAATCAATCATTTTCAAACTATGTATTTGTATGATACTGCTGCAAACAAGAATTGATTATATGAGAAAATCAATGTTAATATTTGGCATAGTAGCCTTTCTAAGTAGGTCTAACTAGTTTTTCCACCAGGTTTGCACACACTGCAAACTTCCCTCCAAAGATTCCCTATTGGGTTTAGGTCTGGAGAGTGGCTAGATATCTCAGGTAGGCTCAAGTAGGAAACTTGGGGAAAACCTGCATCTATGTCCATCGTTCGACTCATTATATGTATAAAAACATTAGTTAGTTAACTTTAATGAGGGTAATAACCCACCTTAAAGAGGAGAAAGGAAGTCAACATCTTCTCTCGAATATTGAATAAGGAAAACCAGTTACACGGAAAACAAAAGCTAAATAAAATACTAAACTCAGTAAAGAGGCAGCAGGCATCTGCTCTCTACTGGTTATCTGAATGTTTTTTTTTTTTGTATTGCAATTAATGGTTATTTATGATGGAGTGATCATTAAAACAGCACCTAAACCCTTTCTAATAATTGAGGACTGAGACTCTGTCCATGGTGCTGACTTTATGACTTTTTACTTGATCTGAACAAGGAAGTTTTGCATTATTTTTCTTCTTTTTTTGCATTTTACATTTTTTAATCTTGGTTATGGTCATTTAGTGATTGAGCTTTTTTTTGGATTTCTTTTGTCTGCCATCATTTTCGTGTTTTTTATGTTTTCCTGTTTTCACCATTTTGGTTAGTTCATTTTTTTGTTGTTTGTACAGTTTGATTAATTTATTGATTGATTGATTGGTTGGTTGATTGATTGATTTTTTTTTATTTGTTGGTTGATTGGTTGGTTGATTGATTAATCGGTTTATTGATCTCACAGTGGAGAAATGTACTCGTTACATCGGCTCGATAGTCAGAAAGAAGAAAATGCCAAAAGGAACAAAAAAGTGCATGGGGGATATATACAGTATATACAATGTGTATATACACAATATACATAACAGCTGAAGTCTCTTATTTAACAAAATTATTATACAGGGTTATTGCACTGGGTATTAAATGGGTATTTATATAGATGAGTATTTATATATATAGTTATTGCACTAGGTATCAAATATAAAAACAGGTTATTGCACAAGGTATTAAATAGTAATTGCACATTAGACATGCTACAAGTTATTGCCGTTGTAGTGTCGATTGTAGAGTCTCATGGCAGCAGGGATGAAAGACCTCCGGTAGCGCTTCTTTTCACTAACAGGGTGTAAAAGTCTTTTACTAAAAGAGCTGCTGAGGTCCTCTACAGTCTGGTGCAGGGGGTGAAAGGGTGTTGTCCATGATGGATGTAAGCCTGGACAGCAACCTCCTCTCACCCACTTCCTCCACTGAGTCCAGATTGCAGCCTGGGACAGAAACAGCCTTTCTCACCAGTTAGTTTAATCTCTTTCTGTCCTGCTCTGTGCTGCCAGGGGTCCCGCAGACGGCAGCATAGAGGAGGGCTGATGCCACCACAGAGTCATAGAAGGTTTGAAGAAGGGGCCTGTTCACTCCAAAGGATCTCAGGGGTTAGTGGCGACTCTGGCCCTTCTTCTACAGGGCGTCGGTGTTATGAGTCCAGTCCAGTTTATTATTGAAGTGAACACCCAGGTATTTGAAACTCTCCACAGTTTCTATGTCCTGTCACTGGATGTTCACGGGGGAATGAGGTGGGGATCTTTTCCTGAAGTCAATCACCATCTTTTTGGTTTTACTAGTGTTAAGACATAGGTGGTTCTTCTCACACCAGTCCACAAAGTTCATGATGACCGATCAGTACTCCAGCTCGTTCCTCTCAGAAACACAGCCCACAATGGGGGGGTCATCCGAGAACCTCTGGAGATGGCAGCTATCTGCTTTGTAGGTGAAGTCCGAGGTGTAGAGGGTGAAGAGGAATGGAGACAGAACGGTGTCCTGGGGGGGTCCCAGTGATGCAGATTGCAACCTCTTACCGACAGCCGTGCAGCGGCACGTAATGAGGGCATTTAGTGAGGTAGTTGATGGTCCAGGCAGCAAGATATTTGTCCACTCCAACGTCCTCCAGCTGCCCCCTCTGCAGCATCGGTCTGATGGTGTTGGCTAGTGTGAGGGGAGTCAAACCGGGTGAAGAAAGTTTTATTATTCAGTGTAACCACTATAACTTTAATCCAATTATCTTTTTCAACAATCATCCAGAAACCCGAGCCAACAGAGAGCATCTGGAGGCCAAGCTCTTCTGTGGGATCCCCAACAGAGACATAGTGGACGACACAGAAACGGATGTGCGAGGACGGACCAGCCGTAGGAAGAGAGTGGTGGGAGGAATCCCGGCGAATCCGGTCAGTAACGCTCACTATCACATCTACGTTTTAAATGTACAAGGTCTTATCTTCAGAGAAGCCATACACATAGCATGAATTATTTTGGGCAGAATACAAGGGGATCTTAGAGTGCTGTAAAGAAGCTCTGTGGGCCACAAGACAGAATCAGCGAAGGATACGACCCTCTCAAGTTGCATAGGCGAGTTTATATGAAGAATAACCCAATTAAGCTTTGATGCACTCCAAGTGCTGAATACCAACCTGAAAAATCGTTTATCATATCACGCCTGTGTAAATTCTCAGTCATTAGGGTCCATGGCAATGACAGAACAGGTTTAAATAGGAGCAATTGATTAATATGTAGCTGTAAAATTGTAAATGAAGCTTAGATTCTCTTACCAAAGGCTTGCCTTTAACCAAAGCTTAGCTCCACTGTACTGAAGATAATACTAACCTCTGCTAGTCAAAATATTTAGAAAGTTGAAAGACTGGACTCTGAACAGTTAATCAAAAGGGGAAACATCATATTGAAGTCATATGATTGAAAGTAATGAGTTAAATGCATTGTATTGACTTTCATAAATCTTCTAAACACAAATACCCATTAAACTTCCGGTATGATAAATCTTCATGCAGGTGATAAGTGTTCACATTTGGAAAACCTCTATCCATTAATATGGGCGTTTGGTCATTAGAATGTGGTCTACATGGTTTCACAAAGGCACACACGCAAAAACGTTTCCACTGACTGTTCTGCTCAATTTACAAACGTAACACAAATTGCAACTGTTATGAAGATCATCTTTACACACACTGACAAGTTTCCCCACAAAAACACAAGATGTCATTTAGACGTTGGTTTTTAGNGTAAAATTGTAAATGAAGCTTAGATTCTCTTACCAAAGGCCTGCCTTTAACCAAAGCTTAGCTCCACTGTACTGAAGATAATACTAACCTCTGCTAGTCAAAATATTTAGAAAGTTGAAAGACTGGACTGTGAACAGTTAATCAAAAGGGGAAACATCATATTGAAGTCATATGATTGAAAGTAATGAGTTAAATGCATTGTATTGACTTTCATAAATCTTCTAAACACAAATACCCATTAAACTTCCGGTATGATAAATCTTCATGCAGGTGATAAGTGTTCACATTTGGAAAACCTCTATCCATTAATATGGGCGTTTGGTCATTAGAATGTGGTCTACATGGTTTCACAAAGGCACACACGCAAAAACGTTTCCACTGACTGTTCTGCTCAATTTACAAACGTAACACAAATTGCAACTGTTATGAAGATCATCTTTACACACACTGACAAGTTTCCCCACAAAAACACAAGATGTCATTTAGACGTTGGTTTTTAGGCTCAATCTGGGCAGTTCGTCATAGTCTCGATTTAGTCCGAAATAGTTGTTGAAAACTGGGCTCTTTCGTCGGTCTGATTTTGTCACAATTTAGTCCAATAATATTTTCTTCAAGGAACTAAAAATTTCGGCTTTTCAACTTTCAATTTTCAACCAAATGTAGACTTAGTTTGGACGTAAATCATGCAGTCCTTTCAACAAATTTTTGCTCAGTGAGTAGCACTCGCCATTCTCTCTAACCCCCGACCCACCTACTTATATTTACCTTATATTCTAAAACCTTATCAGTCGCTGTTGCCTTCCACTATGGATGATTATAAGTTAGTCCTATTATCAAGCATCCATGCTGTTATCATAACCTTTCAAAAATGCATATAGTCATAGTTTAATAGATACTGTTTTAGGGCTGAAATGAAAGCACAATCTTAATGCAAAGGTCAGAAGTTTAATGTCAGGAGTTTCCGAGCATCTCTTGAAAATGACCATGAATCCACCTGATGTTTGTGAAACCTGACAGTCCGTCTCCCTGCTGTTCTGCAGACTCAGATCCAGTGGCAGGTGGCTCTGGAGGAGAACCGGAGGATTGACTGTGGAGGAGCTTACATCGGAGGCTGCTGGGTCCTCACAGCTGCTCACTGTGTCAGGTAGCTCAGAGTATACTGTAGGGAATTTCTGTAAAGAAACTTCTCAATGTCTAATGTTTTAATGACAGTCCATCTCATTCCAGGTGTTATTTTGATGTATGCAGGGGTTATATTATTGTTTCTTAAAGTATTAAGTTGTTTTTTTACCTCTGACATTTCTTTACCAGGCAGAATCCCTCCGCATTTAAAGTCAAGTTTTCTCTGTGGAAGAAATTTAGAGCTCAAGGAACGACGGACATTGTTCCTGTGGAGGATATCCGCATCCACCCAAAGTATGATTCCAGCTAAGCACAGATTCTGAGGACAGTTACACATTATGTTAAACCTTCATTTCTACTCACTCTCTCTGTTTGGACGTCCTGCAGCTACGTGCCTGCCACATATGAAAACGACATTGCTCTAGTAAAGCTGGAGAAGCTTCCATTCAAAGAGGAATGCCTGGAGGACAACCCGGCTGTCAGAGCCGTGTGCGTCCCCTGGACCACTCAACTGTTCCAGCCCAACCACACCTGCAGCATCTCAGGGTGGGGTCGCACAGCAGGTATGAGCATTACCATTGAGGGAAGAAAAAAATGTCTCCAGTGTTCATAGGAAAAGAAACATGGAGTAGCAGGATCTTTACAGAGTATGAAGAAAATCATTTTTTTTAAGTATCAATATGCTAAGAAATACCCAGAATACTAAAAAAAAAAAAACAGATTAAATGGAGCTTATTACAGTAAACTTGAATTAATATTCTGACTGATTAAACAAGTCTGAATTAGTTTGCAGTCAAATATCAGGTTTTCTTTTATGGTTATTTTGTTACTTTTTTCAAATTTTACCTCAACTCGCTCAAAAAACTGTCAATACACATGGCAAACCAGTAAGGGCCAATACATTTATGTAAGACTTTAAAAAAAAAAAAAAAAGAAAGAAAAAGAACATAGAAAAGAACATGGAAACACGTAGTCCCACCTAAATAAAATCAGGCTCCGTCGGACTTCATCAAAGTTTTCTCTCCTTTAGTGAGGCCAACAGTAAGAATGTTATCCAGGGCAGGAAAGGAGTTCAGGTCCATGGAAAACATCCTGCTTCCTAATCCACTTATAATGGCGACCACGCCCGCCGACAGGGAGGGACAAAGGGCTCAATTGTCCCAGGCCCAGGACAGATGGGGGCCCAAAATTGACACTCTGATCATTAAAAATACAGACAGAAGTAATTTTTTTAGAAATTGTTTGTGATAAAAATATTTAATATTAGAGTAAATAAATATATAAAAATATCTGCATTAGGTAATGTAATATGTTTTCTTTCTTTCATTCATATTTAGATCTCAACGTAGCAGCTTTGATCCTTTAATGATTTAATGTGAAAAGATACAGAGTAAAGCCATCAGATATCTGCATTTCTGATTAAATGACCTCACAAGGAAGATGGTGACCTTAGGTCAGAGTAATCAGCTTTATGGTGTGACTTGAACATCAACTGAAGTTAGAATTCTGATTTGGAAAGTCATAACTTCCTCACCAATCTCAACCATACTATCCAATATGGCTGCCACAGGCTTAAAGCAGAGTAATTACTACAGTTATAGACTTGTATTTGTCTTTTTGATGCATTTAACATTTTTTAATCAGCGATTAATATAACTGTACACATCGCATTAAAAGTATAAACGAGAGAGAAGTAGGGCTGAAACAATTAATCGGATTAATCGATTATTGGAATAATCGTCAACTAATTTAGTAATCGATTAATCGTTAACTGGAGTGTAGAGACTCTAAAGCATGCCTTAACCTGACAGAGCGACCAACTTAGAGCAGGAATTATACCAAAATCAAAGCAATAAATAAACATTTTGCATTTACAATCAAAACAAAAAATGTGTTTGTCAATATGCTCCATCCTCCTGAAGTGGTCTAATTTAATAAAAAAAAACTCCTTAAAAAAACATTTGGCTATCCAATTACTAATCAATTCATCGAAGTAATCAACAGATTCATTAAAATGCGAAATAATCGTTAGTTGCAGCCCCAGAGAGAAATAATATACTGACTTTATTGCTAATGGTAGATAACCTTATTACTGAGCACAATGATTATAAAATACCACTAATTAAAAAGAAAATTATATAAATTATATCTGACATCCTTCTGGGTCAAATTTTAATAAAAAATAAACAAATAAAACTCATCACATGCCTAGGCAGGACCCGTATGGTTTTGTTTCAGGCTGGATGGTTCAAAGTGGGTCTGTGTTCTACTGGACCCAATTAACACACAAAAAGGTTCAGCTAAGCTACATGGCTAAATGTAAGCCTTTGTTGGGTCTCATGGGTCCCATACTTTAATCTTTTTTTTTGTCCTATTATCGAAAATTATGGGCCAAGTAGGTAAAAGTAACATTGAATTAGTGTTGCACTGATGCCATTTTTTGGCCCCGATACCCCATACCTGGCTGTGCAGTATTGATCTATACCGATACCATCTGTTTGAAATTTATGTGTTTGTGTATATATGAAGAACTGCATACTACCTGGATGTAAAATAATCGCCATCATGGCTTTGTCAAGCTGCTGCCTACCTTTGTGAAGCAGGAAAAAGACGAATACAAAGTGAATCCAGCAGAACTTTTTATTGCCTACCTGGAATTGGTGACAATAGTTGAAGAAACTTCTGGCTCTCAAAATGGTATCAGTGCCCTATTCGTTGGTACTCGCCGATACTGATACCAAAATTTTGGTGCTGGATCGGGCCAAAATACCAAAATTCAATTCTACATTCTTTAATTGAAAAAGCATTTCTGGAAATGGTTTTTCATTTCAAATTTTACATTTCAAATTGAATTTTAGTATGTATTTGCTGGGGTGCATTTTAAAAAATAAATCTCAAATGTCTTTTTCTTTTTCATTTTTAATTAAGTAAAAGGATGAGCGGTGTTGATGAAAATGAAAATGCAAACAGAATTATTGATTACTAATTTTATTTATGAGTCAAACAATGCAGCCACATTCTTAAAATGAAAAAGCATTTCTGAAAATGCTTTTTCATTTGAAATATGGTAACGATTTGCTTCCATAAGTTTTGCAGAAGGAAGCAACTGGAAAAAACTCACTAGTGGTTTGAATATATGAG